CTCCATCTCCTCCTGAGCCCAAACAATCTATCCACCCACAACATGCTCGTAGTCAATCAAAGTCAACAGCTGCTGACAACAATGAACAAGACAAAGGCGCTTTTGTACTATAGCTAGAAGAACATATTAACATGTGTACTAAGTATACATATATACTATATATATATATATATATATATAGGTATGTATATACTCAGAACACAATATGCATAGTATGTGTAGAAGACTGACAAACGCCCCTTTGGCAACAACCCATGAGATTGCTGAGCTGGGTAAGCGGCCAAAAGCAGCAGCGCACGGCATTTTTATCGGGCTTGCAACAATTTGCATTTTATAAATACACCGCACGACTACGACGCGTACTTGTTGCTCTCGTACCCCTTGCACTAAGCTCTCGGCAGTTCTAGGGGTCAATAGACGCGGCTGTTTCTCAACCCGATGTACTCGTATGTACAAGTATATAGTATAGTGTATGAGAGACATGCAATGCGAGCGGTCAGAGAATGGCGGACCGGACCAACCCGAACCAAGCAACCAACTTAAAGTCAGCGACGCAGAAAGCTCAAATGTGAAGGGAAAACGTCTCTAGTTTTATGAAAGTACACAAACTCTTGAGTCTAGCAGTCCCCTTCAAATTGGCCGGGCTCAAAAAGTTGTTAAATTTATCTTTATCAAAGATGGTTAGTGGCCATTAAAAGAAATATGTGATCTATTTCTTAAATTTTAAATTATAAAATCAGTTCTTAAAAGGACGTTACATTCGATAGCCTTTGTTCAGATAGCCTTTGGGCACAACAAACAACAAAAAGTAATGAAATTCCATTGCTATGTTTTGCTTTTACCAAAAGTTTAATGCCATAAGTCCATACCGGCTATACGATTGTCGCGTACAGCAGAAGTTAATTTGCCAGGTCGGCCTTTAAACGGGCACCAAACAGCCCGATTTGGTGTTAAATTGTTTCCATTTGGCACAGATACGGGCCCACCATGTTGGACTAAACTTTCTACGATGAAACCAAAATAATTTCCAATCGACGAAGCAAAATGTCGTAAAGTTTTACACAAATTTACACAAAAATAAAAAGTTTTTAAAATCAATCTGAAAATATTATTGCTCATCCAGAAATATTTTTTGATATTGCAGTTTTGGCTACCCGTTATATCTAACAAGTTTTAAGCTAATCGAATAAAAAATTTAGATATTTGCAGCTCACTTTTTCCCCTTTTTGGTGTTGAATTTTGTGTCTTAGTAATAAATTTTTTTTAAATAATAAACAGCAACAGTTATCATACTAGGAGTGTTTTATGCACCGATCGGCTCTATGGCAGCTATACGACAAATTAAAACTATATATGGCTTGCAATAAACATGCTCGACGTATGGATAAGATAAATCTACATACCAGGTGTCGAGCCCCTAGCCGTTATAATTGAAAAGTTATCTGTGTTCATACTTTTCATACATCTGTGTACCTAAAAAATTTGGTCCATTATATAACTATTTATTTGAATTTCTCTGCCTGGAAAAATCATATTTGCAAAATAACAAACTTAGAATATATTCGTTTCGGAACCACTCACCGTGATTTTCAAAACAGCAAAATTCGTAACTAATTTTTCACTGGGTCAGTTTTAAACATTAATTTATCATTCTAGGAGAGTGTGAAAGGTAATTGAATATCTTTTAACAGATTATCTCTTTGAAAAATAACGGGCTCAAACGAATTGTTGAAAGTCATTTTCGAAAACAGCGGTGGTTTAGCCAAGAAAATTAAAAAGAAATGTGCTGGATTTTAGAAATTTTATTAAAGTTTGTTGGTTAGTCTTGAAAATATGGATGCTTTAAAATGGTAAAGTCCAAAAATTGTTATTTCTAGAGAATTTAGGATTGCGTTCGTTTTGAAATTACGCGCAAAAAACTTATCATATCACTTCCCAGTAACACAGCATGAAATGAAATGATTAAAAGATCATAAATAACTTGAACCCAACCAATCAATCTTCTTTAATAAACACCCAAATTTCAGAACACTACAGGGTCCCACAAGATTCCAAAGAACAGCTTTCAAAAATAGATATATTTGCTATATTTGATGTACCCAGAAGAAAATAATTTATCTGATTTTTCTAGCCATATTTTGGGGAAGAGCTTTAACCAGAAAGCAGAGAAAAATCCCTTTGTTTAAAAAGCAGCGCTCCAATTGTTGTGCGAGTGTTGTTGGTAGTGGGCCGGGAAGACATGGCGATTATTAGCGGGCGTTGTTGGAGAGCGCACTAGACCGTAGTACCATAACAATACCCGTGGGTGCCGGCGTGGGCGGCGAATTTGTGAGGAAAAAGCCAGAAACAAAAATCGTACGTATCGTGCGAATTTTCGCAAATAAAACAAAGCAGCTGGTCATATTTTTGAATACATATGTATGTATGTATGTGTGTGTGTGTGGGTGAAAAAATACAACAGAAAATAAGCATACGAGTTGTATGTGTGTATGGGATGTGCAAATAGACTCCATTTGTTGTTATTTTTGTTGCAATTGTCAGTAAACAAGCCTTACAAAATACCGGACAGATGAGCAAATCTCAGCGTATATTTAGAAAAATGTGCTTCGCTTAACTTGACTTTTCAATGAAATCCTTCACTTAAATGCTCACATTTGTCTGGGCCGACTCTGCCATATGTTTAGTTAATGACTATTAACTGCAACAAGTGCCAAAATGTGGTCGCCAGAATTCAGAGACTGCATTATTGCCAAGCCAGACGAAACCACTCGGCACTAGAAACGAATTGTTTTGATTTTTGTGTTGCACATTTTAATGAATTCAATAAATATGCAAAATGTGTGTAGGAGCGAGCCATAGAGACGAACTCATTCCCAGGACAGACGACGGGCATAGCACAACATTTTCAATTAATGTTTGAACAAGCAGCTATAAATAAAGTCACAAAGACACTGGGGATTTATAAACAAAAAGAAAAGCAAAGAGAATAAGAATTAAAAATAAGAATAGACCAAAGACGACAGCTTCCGATTGTTTTGTGTCGACCTCAGCTGGCCTCAATCGCCACCTTCCGTTCCCCAACCCCCGCCACCCGCCACCCTTGTCGACACGCCGCGTCTGTCCAACGGCTTACGTCATTTATTTTATGTCTGCCATATAAGAGTTTCATTTATTTACAATAGACTGACGGCTCTTTTTTTATTCTGTCTTGTTTCTCCCTATTTTTTTTTTTGTTTTTTTTTTTTGGTTTTTGGGTGTGCTGTCTTTTATTTTTGAACGCATATGCGGCACGACCCCAAAAATCTATGACGTCAATAGTTTTAGTTTTTGTTAGTCGCGCTGCCGATGCAGCACAAGATCGGAGATGAGGGCAACAATAGATAATCCAAACTCTTGGTATAGATAAAATAAACGTTCACTCTAACTAGTCGTTGGTCGTGCACTTCAGCTATGAGAAAATGTTGGGCTAGCTAACAACAACACGCCCTATATAAATGAACACAATTAATAAAATAATAATAAATTTTTTGTACTTATAGCTTGATATTTTAATATGACTTGTAGCTTGAGAACATTGCATTCTCAAGCTGAGAAAATAGGAATTAAAGTAAAAGTACTTATATCCAAATAGTCCAGGTTTTTAAAAAAAACAATAAATTTACTTTAAAACAAATTTCCAAAATTTTTTGGAATTTATTCCACTAATTGTTTTTTATATTAGAACGGAATTTAAGATTTCCACACCAGCATATATGATATATGAATTGCATTCTCAAGTTGAGAAAATAGGAATTAAAGTAAACGTATATCCAAATGGTCAAAGTTTTAAAAAGCAATCAATTTATTTTAAAACAAATTTCCAACATTTTTTTGAATTTATTCCACTAATTGTTTTTTATAAGGATTAGGACGGAATTTTGATTTCCACACCAGCATATATGATATTAATTAGAATTTTTTTTTTCAACATCTTCATAAGTTAGTTAGGTTTTCAAAAAACGAAATATAGATTACATTAACTTAAATTCTAGAGTGCCCATTAGGGACTATTAGAGTGAAAACCAGTGTGTAAGTATTTACTAGGGTTTACTATAGTAGTAAAAGCATATATAATTAATTGGCATAAATAAACAAAAAGAAAAAAAAAAAACGTAGATACTATATAAAAAGCACACTTTACAAGAATTTTACTTTTATAAATTAAGAAATGTAAAAAATAAATAATGACATTTTGTATCCTAAATTTGTTAAAAATTCAATTTTGTTATTAGCTGCTCTAAATGTGTTACTGTTTGTTAATATCTGGCTTGAAAGAAGTTTTCTAGATACAAATATGTATGTATATATAGTATATTTACAGTGCAATATAAACTAAAATGAAATATTTACTCATGTAGTGTATTGATAACTTGCAATGAACTGCTCAAAATATTGCTCTCCTTCTCAATCGGTGCAGATGAAAATGGATCTTAAAGAATATGCCATCTTGGTTTTAACATACGTTTAATGTTAAATCATAAATTTTGAATTACTACATGTTTTAATTTATAGTCTTATCTGCGCAGCTTACTTTAAAACTTTGAATAAAATATGGACTTAATGTTCAAGAAATTAAAGATATATACTATATTTGAATTCTTATAGCGTATCTACAAAGCGTATACTCTCGTTTGGCATTCTGTCTTGTTGTTTAGAGAACAAGTGTTCCAAACTCTTTGCGTCGGCGCATGGTGCTAAATATATATAGATGCCAGATCGTGGCAGATACTTTATTATCTGAAAATGTTGCCCACATGCCCGAGAAGCATTGGGTCTGCCATTTGTCTCAGTTTCATTTTGGTTTGGTTTTTGAACGTTACATTTTTCTTTTGTGTTTTGCTTTAAGTATTTATTTGCGGCATTTCACATGCATAGCATATTTTACAAAAATTATTACAAAAATAAGCCAAACATTAAAAACTAATTTGTTTTATTTTTAAGTAACGAAATACTAGTTCTTTCTTTGTATATTATTCTGCATATATTCTACGTCGTGTATAGAGTTGAAATTTTGTGAGTGTCTCGTCAAAGATTTAGCAAATTTTTCATATTTGCTTGAGAAAAATGTTCATGTTCTATAAATAGTTGCGGGATTTTCATGGTTATCTACAGAAGAAATAACAAAATTTTCTTCACTCGGTGGCGCTTTTCGTTTTCACTTTATGTGTGAATGTTGTTGGACCGACTGTGTAGAGTATACAGAGAAATTGTGTACATTTATATATCTGCTTACTTATATAGGTCAGCTGTACTATATGTGATGGAAAATGTTTGCTTATTCGAATGCTTTGCTCCTTTGCAGCAATGATGACAATCGAATTGAATGCCGTTTCCATCTGCCTCTAAACGATGGATTTAGCAGATCAAATCGATGACTATATCTGTTCATTCGAAGGACTTGGTGACTTAACAATGGACTCGCTAGCCATGTTTATCTTTCTGTGGGCCGTGTTGACCCTCTTCTCCGTCTGGCTGTGCAAGTTACTCTACAACAAGTATCTGAACAAGGAAAAGTCCGGCAGTGCCAGCAATAGTAGGCAGACCAGCGTTGCGCCGAGCACTGCAGCGACAGGAAGTGGTGCGAAGGGCACCGAGAAGCGTCTGTCCGAGCCACGCGACATGCTGGCCACGAAATCCAAAGTAGAAGATCTATCGAAACCACTGACAGGTGGTGCGGCGGGCCGCGGTCGCTCCACAGCCTCGCCCATGGGTGGTGGCAGTGGTGGCGCTGCAGGCGGACCACGTCGCCGTATGGTGCGTCAAAGCTCAACGGGACCGGAAAATCGCAAGAAACGTTATGTGCCACCGCCCTCAAATGTTGTGGGACCGGAGACGGTGAGTTACCGATTTTCTTTTCTTGAAGACATGCATTTTTTTCTCATTACGCTCTAAACTTTCAGAGCTCCGTTACGTGGACTAGCCAGGTGTTCCGCTGGCTGTATAGCGACCTAGTTATTGTGAATGAGTTGCTCATGTCCTGGGTTATAGCGCTCAACGACACGCTGCGCAAATCGGTCGAGGAGGTAAGTCTGAGGGTGCTTGAATGACATCAGCCTTGAGCTTTGACATCATCTACTGCCGAGTGGCAACAGGCGACATCATCTATTGACAGTCACCCAGTTGTGATGTCATTAGCAAGTTGGCCAACTGCTGGCTTGCTGGCTTGCTAGCTTGCTGGCCAACTCGTGCATTGAACTTTGTTTCTTTTCTTTGCCACGGCATTCAACTTGAAACCCGCTCGACGCTCGTTTCTAGCACGGCCCATGGCCAACTTGGGTAACCGCTCAGCCGTAACCGGCATCGGCAGCAACATCGAAACGCGTTTCGAGTGCTCCACTCTCGGCCCCTCGAGTGTGAATAACAAAGCGCAGTTGTTTTTTATCGCCTTTTACGCGCGTACCCCCATACAGCTCAAGACGTAGGCCAAGGTCGGCGCTTGTTATTTCTTTTCATACTTGTGTTCTTTTTTTTCACGAAACTCGTATTAGTCATTTCATGGCAGCTTTACGTGTTTCATTTTCAGTTGCTCGAATGTAGTATGAACACTACTATACTTGTTTAAAAGCGTTGCTTACGTAATTCGAACAGAAACAGAAGTGCTGCTTTGAAATTACCAAAAAGTCTAAGCTGAAATGTTAATGGAACGTGGCTGCTTTCTCAAACGCATAAATTCAATTAAATTTTAAATTTATCTCACTGCCTGATATAAAGTGGTTTCGATCAAATTTGTCGAGTATTTTGGATTATTCAGAATAAAAACCACATTTTTTATGAGCATAATGCGATTATCATAAAGCTTATCTCAATTAAGCAGCAGAGGTTTATTGGGTTGGCATGCATTTATAGTTTCTGTAAGCTCTCCAGGTTTGGATAAAAGTTTGTTATAAAGTTATTTGTTGTAAAACATTACCGCTATTATTTGGAAACTAATCTTGAGCTAATATGTTCCATAGGAGCTGAGTTATATTAGGATAGCAGCAGTTGAGGATGCTTCTACAACGCACAAATTCAATTAAATTTTAAATTTATCTCACTGCTTGATTTTAAGTTTTTTCGATGAAATTTGTCGAGTATTTTGGATTATTCAGAATAAAAACCACATTTTTTATGAGCATAATGCGATTATCATAAAGCTTATCTCAATTAAGCAGCAGAGGTTTATTGGGTAGGCATGCATTTATAGTTTCTGTAAGCTCTCCAGGTTTGGATAAAAGTTTGTTATAAAGTTATTTGTTATAAAACATTACCGCTATTATTTGGAAACTAATCTTGAGCTAATATGTTCCATAGGAGCTGAGTTATATTAGGATAGCAGCAGTTGAGGATGCTTCTACAACGCACAAATTCAATTAAATTTTAAATTTATCTCACTGCTTGATTTTAAGTTTTTTCGATGAAATTTGTCGAGTATTTTGGATTATTCAGAATAAAAACCACATTTTTTATGAGCATAATGCGATTATCATAAAGCTTATCTCAATTAAGCATGGTTGGTTGGCATGCAATTATAGTTTCTGTAAGCTCTCCAGGTTTGTTATAGAGTTATTTGTTGTAAAACATTAACGCTATTATTTGGAAACTAATCTTGAGCTAATATGTTCCATAGGAGCTGAGTTATATTAGGATAGCTAGCAGTTGGGGATGCTTCTACAACGCATAAATTCAATTAAATTTTAAATTTATCTCACTGCTTGATTTTAAGTTTTTTCGATGAAATTTGTCGAGTCTTTTGGATTATTCAGAATAAAAACCACATTTTTTATGAGCATAATGCGATTATCATAAAGCTTATCTCAATTAAGCAGCGGAGGTTTATTGGGTTGGCATGCATTTATAGTTTCTGTAAGCTCTCCAGGTTTGGATAAAAGTTTGTTATAAAGTTATTTGTTGTAAAACATTACCGCTATTATTTGGAAACTAATCTTGAGCTAATATGTTCCATAGGAGCTGAGTTATATTAGGATAGCAGCAGTTGAGGATGCTTCTACATTCATTTAAAACATCCGCTTTGGCTAGGCTTAGACGAAAGTATACTTTTTCTGCGATAACTTAGATTTGAAAGTGTCAGACATAGTTTTAATTTAATTTAATATAATTTAACAAATCAATCAATCCGATATTTTGGGGGACTAGACTTAAAAAACTTAAAAAAAAGATAGTATTTCTACTTAAGAGCTATCAAGATGAAGTAAGGAGCACAACGATAAAAAAGAAAATCTAAAAGAGATAAAGGAAAGGAAAAGAAAAATGGTTTAAATACTAAATATCAATAAGGTATGACTAGTAATTCCGAAGTAGCTGCAGTCACGTTTTTAAAACCTATAATTCATATTTTTAGTTTTTAGTTCTTTCCTGAGTCCTTTAGAGAACTTTTAATAAATGTTGGTTCAAATCTTCTAGGATTATTTTCTTTTTGTACATTTTCTATCCCTATAGTTCTGGGAAAACAATTGGTTTAACTTAGTCCGCCCCTTCGTTTCAGAATTGTTTCTACTATTAATGAGGCGTTCAAACTTCGTCTTTTCGAAACTAGTATACCCTTAAAAGTATTTGCTAGAACTCTCGGAAATCAGTGAAAAAGCAGCTTTAATTTCGAACTTATAAATGTTTGATCTATAAAGAAACAATCATAATTTATGCGGCTTATGGCTTTCATTCATATTTATATAAAAACAACACCGGATTTATATTTTTAGCATGGCGTGGCCGTTGAAGTTGTCCGCGTGCTGCCCGACAGCCCCGCACCTGGTCTGAACAATATTTTCTGCAACTGCGAGGAGCAGAATCCGGCCGAGATGGTAATATAACGAGTGCATGGCATTTATAAATCCCTGCTGCTACCATTAAAGTGAATATAATTTATGCAGCTCATCACATTCGACTGCGATGCCATGCCCGTGCTTCAGGTTAAGACCTTCCGGCAGAAGTCCGGAAAGGTGGAGACATCGCATTACAAGGTGACGGTGTCGCGATTCCGTGCACGCATGGCCATACCAATGAACTATAATACACTGAAGGGTGAGATGCGTGTCGAGGGCTATCCCGATGTGAGTATGACATGCAATGTGAAAATGTTCATATGTGGAATTGAGTCTCCCCCTTTAATATCGCCCATTAGGTGCGCATTGCGATGAACAGTGTGGGTGCTATTAAGGCTTTGGATCAGGACGAGCAACAATTGCAGACCGTCATCAGCGACATTCTAACAACAGCACTGCGCGATACCATCTACCCGGTGGACTTTTCCATGTACTCCACCTGTCCGCGCGCCGAAGTGGAGCCAATAGAGTTGCCTGTAATATATCCCGTCCACTATGACTCCCTGGCGGTGAGCGTTGAGAGCAGTGAGAAGCAGCTGTCACTCGCTATCGAGGACAGTCTTGCATTCGTCTGTTGTTGTTGTTCTTGTTGTTGTGTTTGAGACTGTCTTTCCAGTTGTTCGTCACCGTCAACGACACTCTTTGTAACTCGCAGAACACAGAACTCGTTTCGAAGACAGTGTATAGTATAATACAAGTACAAGTAGACACACGATTACCCACAGACAACACTTCTCATTGGTCTCACGTGTTACCCACGATATCGATCTCTCTATATCTCTCCTGCTCGTTATCTTCTATCATTCGTTATATGTTCTCTATATAACAGCTCGGTATGTTTATGAAATTCGCCTTTCGCCCCACCCACATATCACAAAACGTTGATCCGTTATAAATCGTCTCCTTATCTCTCATGATCTCTCCAAGTTGAGCGAAAGCTAAAGTTGTCTCTTTTGCACTCTCTTTTCAGGGCAACCAATACTTTCAATATTATTACAATTTCTAAAATCTAAACCATGTTCGTAGAGTTCTTGAATACAGAATACAAGTTCCTCAATAAAAGGCGAATTTCATAAGCATTCAATTCTTTACTATTTTCCAACATCCTTGAACTCTATTAAGACTCACTACTCACTGCTCATTGCATGCCCTGCCCTTCACATACAGCACAACATGGAGCATCTGGGCCTGGGAAATCTGCGCGACTCACAACACATGGTCTCCGGACGACGCTTGCTGGTGAAGATTGTCAAAGGCGAGGGTCTGCGGGACGCCCACGATCCCTATGTGGTTATCGAAATGGACGAGCCGGCGCAGAAGAATCAGACGGGCACACAGCGCGGCAGCAAACCCTTCTGGGATGAGCATTTCCTCTTGTAAGTCCCCAACCTCAAATGCTGTAAAGCCTGTCTAGATAACTACATGGATCTCTTCTCCTCCATCCACAGCGAACTCTCCCCCCAGTCTGCCGAAATACTCTTTGAGGTCTATGACCGTCCAGTGATAGCCTCCGATCCGCCCAAGTTCCTGGGCCTTGGCCTGGTCGGCATTGATGAGCTGGCCGTGGGTCCGGCCTCTACGCAATTGTTAACCCTGCAGCCGCGTCCCTATGAGACGCAGCAAGTGGCGGGCGCCATTACCGTGGACTTTGTGTTCATTGAGGGCGCCGAGATTCCTGCCGGACCCCGTTCCCACAAACTAAAGGAGGCAATGCGTCTCAGCACGCCCGCCATCAATGAACATATGCGCAATGGCGCCGATCTGGCGGATGCGGCGGTTCGCGCCCTTCAAGATGGTGCCCTTTCCACCTCGGCCAACGGCCAACAGCCCAGCAAGAGCACGCTAATCATTCACAGTGTTCAACGGGTAAGTGAGAAAACAAAGGGCATCTGCACTTCTACACCAACACATCCCATTCTATTGTGGGCTCGTTCTTTTCTGTTGAGGGAGTCAAAACGAAATTGAAAAGAAAAATTATTTACATTGCATTTAATAATCCGCCGCTCAGATAGGCGACTAATTAGGACAAATTTCGAAGTCATTTTTGGGAATCAAATCCAAAAGAAATCTTAGGGAATGCACGCCCAGTGGTTAACAGGTTAACTGTTACATCTCTACCAACAAATACCTTTTTTTGTTTACTTGTCAATCTGTATAAAAAAAATGTAGAAAAGTCAGTTTAGGTCCAATTTACCAGTTAATTAGTCTAACCACTGGCCGTACTATGTATAGCCCAATAATTCTTTTCTCTGGTTCTAACTACTGAAAAATCGTCTAACCGATTTCTGCAGATCTTTATGAGATATTTTCCCAGTAGAGGGGAAACAGAGTTCGTCGCCATTTGCGATTTGTGATCGATCATTACTGATTTCACCTGGTGGCCGCTGTGATTTATGATTCGGATAAGTAAAAATGTCAATCGAAAATAGAAAACAAAAATCCGAAAAATATTATGATTATTTGAATTAGATTTTTCGATTTTGACACTACATAATCAGAATTTTGTCGAGACCTTTACGAAAATATATAAAATGGCAAGCTAGCTGTGACTTTTTGACCAAAAATACAAAAATCAGAAATATTCTGATATTAAAACAGTCATCATAAGCAGTCGGCAGAGACAAATCAACAATCGATAATCAAAAATCACAAATCGCTACTACCTGCTGAACGCGCCCAATCGCGATAAAATTGAAGTAGTTTTAAATGCTATAAAAGAATAATTTCTATATCGGATTTTTACCATGCAACGAGAGTTTTATTTGAAGCTTTTTTATACCCTGTACCCGTAGGGTAAAAGGGTATATTAGGTTTGTGCAAAGTAGGTAACATGCAGAAGGAAGCATCTCCGACCCCATAAAGTATATATATTCTGAATCAGCCTGACGAGAGAAATCGATCTAGACATGTCCGTCCGTCCGTCTGTCCGTCCGTCTGTCTGGATGTACGCAAGGATCTTAGAAACTATAAAAGCTGGAATAACTAAAGTTGGCATCTAGATTCTCCTAGGTTCGAGAAACGATGAGTTTATTTTATTTTTTTGAATTTCCAAAATTTTAAGTTGCTGCTTCTGTAAGCTGTTTACTTTTAAGAGCTCCGTGCAAAGCAGTTTTCCATTTAATATACATAAATAATATACATAAATACATACATAAATAAATATATTCTAAAAGTGTTGATTCTAGAAACTCGTACTTGAATCCGAAACCTTTCCATATAGATGAGATTTCCAGAATTGTCACAAATCTTATAATTTGTAGAATAGTTAATATTTTCAAGTCGTATAGCAATATATATAATTTCGTTCTGACTCTTTTTCCCTTTGATCATTTATTTTAATTTTGTTTGTTTTTCTGCTCCCTCGTTTCATTTCACTTTATTTCGCTTCCGCACACACAGAATTCAAGCAGCCCCAATGCATACAAGGTAATGATTTTTATTTGCATTTTGTTTTTATTATTAAATCGACCGTTTGATTTCAATACGTTTTTCGAGTTACATACTTTGTCTTCATGTTGCGTCTCTAATGCTCCTAAATACGTGTACATGTCATGATGACTACCATCTAGAATTTAAGTCAAGCTAATATATAGAATTGTTTCTCGTTCCGTTTACTCTCTGCGTTTGATTGAACGATTGCCTAACCCCCCCGCGCTTTTCTAACCAACGCCACGTCCATCAGGTCGAATTGAACAAGGATGGCCAAATCGAGGTACTCGAGGCCCAATCTCCGACAGAGCTCGATCAGGTCGTGGCACAGGCCTTTGAGCGTGCGGCAAATGAGGCCGCCAGTGCGGCATTAATTGAGGCAGAGACCGATGCTGCAGCTGTGGCAACAGGTCTCTCGGCTGCCAAGTCCAACGAGTTAATAAACGAAACAGGTAACGCCAGCGAGGACAACACTGCCGAGGTGAGTAAGCTAAAGTTTTTTTGTTCAAAAATTAGCAAAATTAGCAAGCATGGCACAACGTTTATTCCTCATCCCTCCATGACGCGAATATAATCTCTTTTCTCCTGCACGCCTTCCAGTTCGGCCAGCCCAATGCCGCCTCCTCGCCCAACGGCAGTGGTTATCACAACAACTACAGCTTGAACGGCAACAGCAATCTGGCCGGCCAGGGCAATGGGAGCGGGGCCAACACAAACCTTGGCTACAACTCGAATAGCTTGCCTCGCAACGGCGGCACGTCGCCATATCTCTCCCAGCAGCATCAGCAGCAGCAGCAGCAACAGCCTTTGGGCGATCTGGACGATCGCGGTCGCAGCAAAAAACGTAATTTCTTTGGCACCCTTAAGAAGCGACTCAGTCGCTCCAAGACACGTACTCTATCGGCCGATCAGCCCAATAACCACCATCAATCACTATCAGCCACCAATACCGCCAATACAACAACAGCCACAGGACTCACAAGAACAGCCACAGGAGCCCTCAATGGTGAATCTTCACGTTCATTATCTGTCGATCGTGCCACTTTGTCTAAAAGCAATTCACTTGGTAATTACCCGACACATACGCCCAACCATACACATGTTCCATTTTGTTTTCCTTTTGTTTCTTCCTTACTCATAATATCGTAATTAAAAACACCCAATTGGATTGTGCACTAATCTTTTTAAAAGGCTTTGTTCAAGACGCAAAAACTAGACATACAAGTATTGTTTCCTAATTATATGCATAAAGGGATTCTAAATATTTGTTGAAACATATGCGTTACTTCAAATAGAGTATAAACTAGTTAGATATTCCAAGTTTCCAAAATAATTAGATTATCGAATTCGTGCGAATTCTTCATAGAAATTGTTTTGCAAAGGGTAGCAAGAAAATTACTTAATATTGAGAAGCAGTCTTTGAAACAGGCATAAGTATTTTTTAGCTTTCGAAACCGAATGAATTGTACGAATTTCATTTGTCTGGAGTTCCCGATTTTGACATAATTTATGAATTTATCGAGATCGTGTGAGAAATAAGTCGCCCGCAACAAATCACATTTAAATAAAGTGTGAGAACCACTTTGAAAACTGTGGCCAACATGATTCGAGAAAATTGCTCAAGTTCTAAAATCAGACTACGAGTTATCTGGAACTATATATATATCATTTCATATAATATATCCAATAAAGTGTTCAAGTGAGGGCAGGAAAGTTTCCAGCACTTAACAGCATTGTTTTCTATTTGCAAAACAATGTTCGATCGCGAATCTTGCCCAATACACTGGTGGAGAGAGCCAATTAGTGAGATTAGATTAATTAGACTGAAGAGTACTGAACCGTAAGCCAAGTTAGCTCCAAAAATAAATCACTTTACTATTTGCAGGCATCCAAGGGGGAAATATACGCTTCAAAGAACGTAGGACCTTAAGAAACTGTCTACCAGATTACGAAAAAAAACACGATAAATCATAAACAATAATCTACTTGAATGATATTTGGTAAATCTTAGTACAAACTATATAGTGTATTTTTTGTTTATAGAGAAACATTTTTTTAAATCTTTTAAGCAGTTAATGCATTGTATTTATAGTTGGAAAGAGGTATGAAAAAGGTCTCTAGAAAAACATTTAATTTTTTTAATGGAGTTATATCCAAAACTAAAGATATAGAACTATATCGAATATCATTAAAATTTATAAATTTATTGATTGGCTCGTCACTTACCTTAGACATAGGCTCCATTTCTCAACTCTGGAGTTCTTTTTCAACAGCATTTTCACTCCACAAAATTCTACATAGTGTCTTGATATTTCGTAGGTAGTGCTTACATCTATTTAATCCACATATGTATATAACTGTGAAGATGTTGTAAAACGTTTAAAGTGTACACCTCTAAAAAATGTCATAAAAATCACCATTACTTACATACATGGGCGCTTTTCGAGCTGGAATTGGAGTACTGGCAGATATATTAAATCATACCAATACATAAAACTTCCTGTCGTTACTAACAGCGAGTTCATTAATGTATCTACAGTCCATACTCTTGTCTTCAGTCCAGTCCCATATATGTATGTCTGTGGCATATCTGGACGGGTGTGGACAAGTTCCTCAGAATTAAGAGTCAGTTTAAAGGTTACTTTTGTGGGAACTTGTCTGTGCCCGTCGCGATGATACCTTTTCTATTTATATTTAACCCCAACTTTGTCTATATGTTAGTATTTTTACTGTGTCCTTTATTTCATTTTTATCTTTCTATTCTTACAACTCCAAACTAAATGCTAACTGACTTCCTTCTAACACCGAACTCTATGTATGTATGTATGTATCTTTGTAATTGTTTTTTTTTCTTTGTATATCCTCTATAAATGTTTCTATATGTAAACAAAAATACGCACACACCATAAACATACTCGCACCATACGCACACCAACAATATCTATCCACACACATATACGAAACGGTATTGTAATTATGCAATTTTTTCTGGGCTTTTGTGAATTTAAAAAATATTTTTAATTATTTGCACAATTAATTTTATAATAATTATTGAAATTTTGCTTTACTAAATTTGTTCACACATATTTTTAATCAATTGTTTTACATTCTTCTTCTTTTTGTTTATTTCCATATGGCATTATATATATGATTTGATTGGTTCAACATTTTGGTCTTTCGGGTGGTATGTGTGTGTGTCTCGCTCGCTCGATCGATCGATCGATCGCTCTCGCAACTCGGCAATCAACTACACACGGTGGTGTTATGTGCACGCTTTATGGCTCTAACTTATAATGATTTTATCTCTTATATACAATTATATCTACATAAATATATATGAATATTTGTATTTAATACACCCAAACAACAAAAACAAATGTCACATCAACAACAACACTAAACCAATCAATCCAATAAAAAGGACCCCGCATGGGCATTGGCTCATCCATCGACCATTCACGTCGCTCTTCAATTTCAGAATCCTCTGCCATCTCAGGCTTCTCATCGGCTAGCAATAAAACCTACGTTCATGAGGCCTCCACACTGGTGCTGGAGACCATTGAGAATGGCGTCAAGCGGTATGTGAACCCTTCGTTAAATCTTACGAATTTAGTTTTAAAACATAATCCGCCAACTTATTCCAGACACTTTATTGTGCCGCTGGCCATCGCGCAACGTCCTCGCTGGCGCCGCAAGGGCACCAAATTGCACATCTATAATGATCACACGTTCATTGCCAAGCATTTGAGTGGGTGAGTAGAGAATAGATTCTTTTTTCTTGCAACCACTTAATCGTAATATCATCTCTGATGCTGCAGTGGTGGCTTGCAATGCTCCATCTGCATGAAGTCCATACCGCGCCGACCTGGAAAGCAGGGTTACGAGTGTCGCGATTGTCAGATAATCTGTCACAAGCAATGTCACATACGCGCGCCCCAGGCGTGTCCCAATCCAACGGTACTCTCCATGGAACTGTAAGTAGTCTCTCCTCATCTTTGTCCCCATTTTCTGCTTTGGTTTCCCATTTACTTTTTTCATTTCCTATTTGGTTTTATACCCCTAATATAGAGATGTACTAATTTATTGATTTAATTTTTTTCTCTTTTCACACACACTCCAAAAACAAAAACCAAATAAAAACACACACCACACACACAAACACCCTCCACCTCCAACACCCCATCTTCCCCACGCTCTTTGCCAACAAATAGAACCTCATTTCCGGTACTCACAGAAAGAGATTTGAATTTAGTTAACTAAAGCAACAATTATCTACAATATAAAAACAACTTACTACTTAATTCAATACCTAAACACACATTTTATTTCATGTCCGCAAAATGCAGTTGATTGTCTTATTATTACAAGCAAATTTATTTTCTCAAACTGTTGATTGCGTTTTTGTTTCTAAAGTCTAAGGATTTTCGTTAGCCCCTTGACAAATTATCGTAGTAGCTTTCAATTTTCAATTGGCGTTGAGGTTACAAAATTGCTTTATCTGCTTTCTATGTATAGTAATAGACCAGCTTTGCTCATATCGTTATAATGCAAGATTAACACGTGACTTTGTTATATATCGGCTATATACATACAACTTAACTGAATAATTGATTACCTTAAAAGAATGGGTGAAAGTAGTTTAGTTGAAAATTAAGCTAAATTAATAAATAATAGTAAATAGTTTTGAAGTGTGGAATTATTAAAGGATATATTGCGACATTTTATATATCCGATATTATAAGCAGAAAACATCAACTAAAGTGCCTTCATCTAAAAGAAAAACCAAAGATTTCATTTTCAATTTTTGCCCAACTCGGAAAGTTAAACTGATCTGATCAAATGGGTTAAATATTCATATAACATTTGATGACAGTGTTGTTATGTTTTGATTGTAAATCGAAAATTTTCGATTCTTCTATGATAAATCTATCTCAATATATGTTGTAACATTATTTGAAATTATAAAATTTTTTAGGGTACCATAACTTTTAATTTATAAATTAAATATTATGCCCGATGTTGGCCATTTGAAATTCCTTGCACGATTCGGCATTCGACTTTAATGTATTATGGTTTAATCTCCATATTGATGGTATTCTATTAGTTTTTTTTTAATGTAATTGATTTTGAAGCTATATTTATTTCTATAGATGTCGGAAGAATAAGCGGGCCGAGTAGTTTCCCTTACAGTCTTTGAATTAAACGCGTTCAGATGGACAGTTCGTGAATTTTAAATAAACTCTTAAAGTTGTCTCACATAAACTTAGATAAATTGAAGAAAATTGAAAATGAAAAGCGTTTTAATCTCCACACTAATTCTAACCGTGCTCGTAAATGCAACATTTTCACTAATTATTTAAAAAGATTCGCCATTCTTATGCTATGCAAATCAGTTTTTGCCAACTTCTAAAACAACATTTCATTTCTTCTATTTCACTCAACAACCAAAACAAAACAAATCAAAACGAAAATAAACAATAAAACGTGCACTGAATAATAATTATATTATAATTGCATAACATTACAAAACGCACAATAAATACAACATAAACACGCATACAGGATGACTAATGAATGAGCAGTAAAAAATATTTTGCACAATTAAAATAAAAAAGAAATATACAATATTTATAGTTATTTTTTTTTAAGTTTAACTAAAATGGTATTAAACAAAAGTTTGAAACCACTTGTGCGGCATTTGCCTTATTTCATTTGATTTCGTAATTTTGACGCCATTTGTAAAGTTTTTAAAGCACATGAGCAGACAAGTTACATGAATTGAAAACAGAGATCAACTGAGATGCGTTTAGGTCCTGAGACTGAAAGGTCTTAGAAAAGCTGCAAAGGGTTTTAGAAAACTATCTTATAGTCTAGTCAAATGGGTAAGATTTCATTTCAATTTTGTTTTCGTTCTGCATGCAATTTTCAATTATTTACGATGTGTTGTGTTACAATTCAGGCGCAAGCTGCATTTCTCCTAAATTTTATAAACGTTCAAGCGCATGGCAAACTAAATACTGTTAAAGCCCTCTTATTATTCATATCTGTGAGTGTACCAAACAAAGAGATTCAAAATATTTCTGAAATTTGATTAGCTTTATGGCTTTCTAATACGAAATTGGCATTGTTACAATTACACTTTTTAAAAGTTGTCGTTTTTATTTACAAATTCAAACTTAATAAACATGAATTTATCATCAATACTTGTTATGTTTTCCTTCCACAGAACTAAGCTTAACTCAGCGGCGGCGGATCGAAGCATACGTAAATTGTAGGAACTGCAACAGCATGTTTAGGATATAAAGAAACAACATAAATCGAAATAAAACTTACTAATATTTTTGCATACCTTACACCTTAAGGAAGGAATCGAAAACAGAAATAACCTGGAGCTACACGAACAGTTATCATTTATGTTATTTATTTTATACACAAGTGCAATATTTTGGTTTTCTTTTAATTTACATGTACGTGTTTTCTATTGAATACACAAGCTTAAGTCACTCTGTAAAGTCTTCGTACGTGTATTTTGTATTTTCTACAAAGCAATGATAATAATTGTAAAAACGAATAATAATTTTTCGAATAAAAATCGCTGGAAAAAGAGAAAATTGAAATAATTTCGAACGTAGCGCCCAAGTGGCGACACAAAAGCTCGCTGCTACGGCATGTTGAAGTGCATGCGGCAGTACCAGCCCAACAGCTGTGCTGCCGCTATTTAATTGTAGAGCAACACTGGCGACTCGTTGACTCTGCCCTGGTTTGTTTACTAGCCTTCACTTGCTTCCACTACGGCAAGGTAATGGGGTGCAAGCGAGACAAAAGATATCGATTGGAACCAGACAATCGAAATATTCGATACTGAATGCAAAACGAACGTGCGTGGCATGAAAAAAATTCTACAGTGGTGTTCATTTAAACATTTGTATTCCGACGTGCATGTGAGACGCGCGCTTGCATGTGATAGGCGAAAGTGCACAGACGACAAAATTAATGTTCTACGCACCGTGAAAAATTGTTTTTAAATTCTGGAAAAATTAAACGCGAAGGCAGCGAACAGCAACGTCGTGAATTTGTCAAAATTATGCGCGTTGTGTTTGTCAATTCAATTGCACCACCAACAGAATTAAAAGCAAAGCACACTGTAAGTGCCACCGACAGAACGACACGCCTCGGCATAAAATAAAAAAAAGAATCATACGGCAGTAGCAGCAGCAGCAGAGGCAGCCAAAGCAAAAGCGCTGAAAAAGAAGCAGTAGTCGTAGTCGTCGCCGTCGCCCTTGTTTTTGTTGTCGCGTGTGCGAGCGCGTGTGTGTGCGTCGGTGTGTCTGTGTGCGCAATATTTCTAATAGGCCCACTACCGCCACTCTCTGCTTATAGCGATAAATTTAATAATTAAAGTAGTGCAAACAAAAAGAAAAGTTTCAAGTGTTTCCTACAGACAAAAACGATGCTGTGTTTTATGTGTGTGTGTGTGTGCATTTGTGTTTTTTAGTGCGCAGTGCATTTGAGATTAAAAGCGTGAGTGTTGTGTGTGCGTGTGCTTGCGCGTCTATTGCACAAAAAAAAAAAAAATAAAAAGTTCGAATCAAAAATATAGGCAAAATTTTTATGAGACGCTGACGTCGCCGCAGCTGCTGCCACTTGTTTTTCCACTTTAGCGGCGTCGTTGTCGTCGACAGCTCTGCTGCCGCTCTCGCTTTCTCTCGCGCTGCAACGCCAACGTTACTATCATTATTGTTATTGTTGTTTTTTTTTCTGCTTTAGAATCTATCCACAATTTTATTCTCCTTTTCATTTGTTTCGCGAAATTTCGTCGTTCCATTATTTATTGTTGTCTTCAAAAATATGAGCCGAAAATTGTATACTTAGCTAATTTATGTTTATCTAAAATTTTAGTAGTGCGCGTTTTGCGAATTCTAAAAATATACGTCGCCGATAAATACAAATAGTTAAAAGTTACGCAATTTTGTGCAAATAAACAACATAAAGAGAGAGAGAGAGAAAACACAAAACAAAACCAAATTTAAGCCAATTAAATCAAACAAAATGCAGTATTTACGACGAGCAACAGCAGCAGCAACCACAACAGCACGTTTCTAAATGTTGTTCAGCAGGCGCATAAATAAAATATTGTGCGTGTGTGTGTTTTAAACACAAACCAAATCAATATAAAAAGGAGCCAAGTGCATTAACGCATTAGCCAAATTACCAAAGCGCCTGATTTTGATAGCTCCCGCAACAACAACAGCAACAACAACCGCAGAAGCCATGGCCGCTGCCCATCACAATGCCAATTTGCTCAGCTCGGACATATCGCGACGCAATCCTCAGGATGAATACGAGCTAATCCAAAAGATTGGCTCCGGCACCTATGGCGATGTTTATAAGGTGAGTGTTTAACCATTTTTTGTCGACACTCACCCACACACATACGCATGCACACTCATTATAAGTATTAGGGGTATTCCAGAATGCTGCTTAACATTCGATTTTATTATATTAAAACTTTTCGATTATGCTGAGCAGCTGATCACTGCTGGCTGGTTTGAATAAAGAATATTAAGGAATTAATAACACGCAAAAACTTGTATATTAGATTGAAATAAATAAATTAGCGATAAGTAATTCGAATCATTTACTCCGTGAAGAAGGAGGAAGAATTTATTTTGAAAATGAAACCTCTGAAACTGATTTTGGCTTGCAATTTGTTATAAATCTAATTTAATAACTTTAACTTAAAATTACAACTCACTAAAGTATACTTTAATTGCCAAATGGAATCAAACTACTTATGAAGGTCGTCTAAATACATACAAGATTAAAATGTAAATCAGCCTTTCGGTTGTTTTTGTATTATAAATTGTGTGATCGTATTTAGCGCAGTTGCTTTTTATGGTCACAGTGTATGTGTTGTATAAAGCAGCTGTGAACAGCTGATCGGCAACATCAAAACCAGATCTTAAACAGTTACCAGGAATACCCTTGCTGTGTAGTTTAAGTTGCGAACGCATCAAAACAGCTGCCAGATTGGCCTGTGCACGTCACTCAACCACACCCACACACAATACACATACATACTTCTTCATACATACATACATACATACATACATACATACATATGTATATCCAACGCTGCAGCGTACTTCGCGCAACTTCGGTGCTGGCGCTTTGGAATTCTTATATGAAAACCAAATGGAAGCATGTTTGTAATTTAGAATGCTGCTTCCACTCACCCCTCCCACACCATCACACACATATTTCAACGTACACATACATATATAAGTAAAGTATGTATGCATATATACTAGTACATAGATACTATGTTAAAGCGCAAACAATTCTGTTTTGTTTTTGCATTTTTGCTGCAGTTGCTGTGCATGCCATGCTGCATCACATTTGCGTGCCAGTCTCTGTGTGTGTGCGTGTGTGTGTGTGTGTTTGTCAGTGTGTGTTGTATGTGCGACTATGCTTGACTGCCTCTCCCCCATTCCGCACTCTCTGCCTCACAAATTGTCCCCAACTGCATACTCATTTGTGCATCTGTCTGAGTAAAACAGCAAAATATGCGCAGTTGTTGTTTTTGTGTTTAATTCTCTTTTTTTATGCTGTTCGTTGAGTGTATGCCGTGGCTGTCGCCGCCGCATCAAATATGACAAATGTTATGCTAAGAAGAGTGACAAATACAGAGTTTATGCTGGAAATCATATCAAGATATGTGAAGTGGCAACATAAATGTACTATCTTGAATTTCATTTCATTTATTCACAAAAATTGGCATCATAAATTGGTTTAATTAGTTAATAATAAAGAGTACAGGTTATAAAACCGTATCAACTTAAATATATATAAAGTGTGTTTTTACAGTTTATGAGTGAACGGACAGTTTATAAAAAAAGTAAAAAAAAGCAGGGGAAAAATTTAATCAAAATCCCAGTTTGCTTAGACAGCCAAAAAATAATCATATTCATATATATTTGTGGAATTTCATAAGTAATTATTTTATTATGAATATATTACATATTTCTTGAATTAAATCCAACATGCATTTAAGAATATTCGTGGGTGCCACAGAAATCTCTTCCGCCCAAGTTTTGTCTCGAAACCAATACTCGGTGCCGCATCCCATGCTTTTGGGATATTTCAAATCGTCTTTGCTTCGCTAGGAGTTTTGATTAAAAACATTAACAAAAACTTTTTTCCCTGATTACATTGTTTTCAGCTTCAAAAAACTAAGTTGGGATTTACTTTTTAAAGCCAAATTTTAAAATTTCAAAAATTATATGTAATATGTGGCCAGACTAACAAATAATTTGCACAAACATTTGTTGAATTTGAAAAGTATGCCATAAATATGTATAATGATACTGAAATTACCTTTTGAAAGCAGCAAATTCTAAAAAAATTTAGCCTCAAAAAGAGCACAGAATAAAGCAAACCGGGAGAAAAATAATATCTCAGTTTAAATTTGCGTGTGTTGGCTGGCATAAACGTAGTAAGAGATGGAAAGCAACGAAGAGCGTGAGCTAGCAAGATCGACTCTGTGTGAGTGTGGGTGGATGGATGAAGGGGGGAAGTGAGCACAAGCACGCGTTTGAGTCTAATGAGAGTTACGGACGGGGAGGACAGGGCTGGCAATGCATTTTTGATGTTTAGCTTGCGGCTTAATGCGAGTAATTTGGCAAAGCGCAAAGTTCTGTAAGCCTGAATGCAGCACAAGCTGTGAGCTCTGTCGTGCCAGTGAGCACGCGAGTGGAAGTCCAATATGGAAATGAAAAAACTGCTCATTGCTGACATTCTTTTAATTAAAGATGCGCGCAAATAAGCCGCTTTTCAGTCAGATACGCGTGCCTGCATTGACGAGGCGGCTTAATTTCAATAACTATATACTTATGTACATATGTACATATATATATGGTACATGTGTATGTATATATATGTAGGAATGCTTGCTTATATGCATAAATGTGTATTTCGGACTATCTTTGAGCTGCAGCATTTGGCCAGATATTTATTTGTTTTTTAATGGACGAATGAAGAATTTAATTTTATTGCCCCTGCTCTGTACCATGATTGGTATAACAGGTTTAAAGAGTTAAATACATTATTGGTATTTAAGAAGAAACTTAATATATGATCGCACGGGCAGACAGACAATCTGCGTGGAAATTAATCGATTGTAGATACTGAAATAAATTGTTAAAAGTAGATCACCTTATCGAGACCATTCCAAGCTTCTCAGTATATATACCCTCTCCTTCACATTTCGGATGCAAGTTCTCATATTTATTTATTTATTTATTTAGTAAATCAACAAATAGCGCTGTCAATACATATACAAATCTATGATTTATATTATTATATAAAATAAAATATAGATATTTAATAATACAAGGTTATAATTTCAACTTAAAAGATCAGAAAGCCTAAGAAAAAACTATATAATGACGTCTCCTAATGCCTCCGACCCGTTGGGGGAATTTTATTTTCCATTTGGCCAGCTATGCCCCGAATCACAGCCATATGTGGTCAGAGACATTATAGATCTAACAGGCTAAAAAAATAGTAATTACAGAAAGAAAAGTAATTCCACTTAACAGCTAATTAACCATAAAGAGAAAGAATAAAAGGGAATCTCCAATCTCTGAAAATGTATTCAATAAGTTTATTATCTCTACTAATACTTGTATTGTTTTGTTATTTTTAGTTTATTAATAAATATATTTCTTCAAAAATCATGATTTTCCCGATTAAGAAATTTTGAAATTTTCCTTTTCTCATCATAACACACTATTAAACCATTTATTAGTTGCATTACCGGAGGTCTATATTTAGAAAAAAACATCTTTGCGCCCTAAAATAGGGTAATGAGAAGTATTATAATGGGAAACCACCTTAACTTCGCCCAATTTGCGGCTTCCATTTTTTTTTTTAGCTCACCATAATCTTTTAATATACAATGTCTCCGGCTGTGGGTAGCTAAATGATTCAGACAGTGCAAATACACATACATATGTATATAGTATAGTATATGAGTAACATTTGTATTGTTATTAGATTCGAATCAAATAGGACTGTCTGCAAGGGTAGATGTAGGAAACGTTACAAAAATTATACTTATAAGGTGAAGTAAAGGTGCAATATTTTCTGAAACGCATACATCACTATTTTTCTAGTATACTCCGAAATCTTAGTAATTGTAATATGTGGATAACTGTTCAAAACATGGAGCAGGTGCTAAATTATGCATAGTGCTCGTTGAGATATATTTTGAAGATTTTAATATATTTAAATTTCACATCTGCCTGGTGGGAAACAACAATTATCGGGCTCTAAAATGCAAAAGTGATAATTGAATTCAATTATAATTAAGTTGCTTCTGCTGCCGCTTGTTTGTACACTTTTTCTTATATAGTATGCCCAGTTAATATCTTATCGTATTATACTTAAAAATATAAAAGCTGTTTGCGAAGCTTAAGTAGCTTATGACGATGATATTATCAATTGTACTTGTTTGTTCTAGAATTACGAATGCTTTTGTGTTTAGAGTTCTGTATACAAGTGCTTTATAGTATCCATATAAAAACGTATATTGAATGCCGACCTTTGGTCAATTGAAACAGAGTTGTATATCAATGTGCAATTTTTATGATTGTCGGTTTGTTTATTCCATGCGTCATACGGCAGAGCCAGTGGCGCATGCTTGGCTATCATCATCAGACACTCCATACACCCCGCCCTCCCCAAAACGATTGCGTTATGTTTGGATATTTGTATATACTCGTATGGGTGGCTTTACGTTCCTTTTGCTGTGCATTTTATTTATTTTCACATGCGGAATTTGTGTTCTCTGTTCCATGCTGGTATTTATGTTTCCATGGCTATATGTTTACTTTGCAGTAAGCTCCGCAACAACAACTACAAGAGCCGTAAAGTACAACAACTTCACAGAAATCATATGTTTGCTAAGAGCGTGTGGCAAACGAAATGCTTTTCATTTCTGTTTGTGTGTTTATTTAAAGTCGGAAAATGCATGTGTTTGTTGTGTATGAGTGGCGTAAATGTACATATGTATGTATGTATAGTATAGTATGGGAGTGTTTGTATGTAGCACATGACCATTGAAACTTTGATATGCACGACGCAATTGAAGTGCTTGTTGGCAATTAAATGTGACATAAAAATGCGGTCGCTTTTGTATACATAGTACATACATACATATGTATGTATAATATATGTATGTATGTTTGTTGATATCAGCGCAGCAATAACAACAGCAACAGCAACTAATAGCAATAATAACAGCTGCAACAGCAGCAACAATAATAACAACAAGTGTTGTTAAGTTACTTTTTTGTTGGCCCGTTGGTGACAAGACCTTATATTGCCAA